GGGAAGTCTACAAAATGCACAGGTGGTTACTCATTTGTCAAGCAGGGCCTCTTGATCAGGTCCTGGAAGTCCGGAAAACAAAGACAGAAATGAGAGTCCACTGGATTGATGGAAAACCAGCAGCTAAGGCAAGTAAGATACATGCAAAATTATTTGATTAAAATCAATCTAACATACATTTAACAAGTCCTAAGTAATAAAAATTTCATTTATTTATATGTAAAGTTCTCAGAAGCACTGTAAAATTCTATTGCTTCCAATAAGAATCAGGTTAAAGAAATCATTTTTATTCTATTTTTATTTTCATTAATCATTTTCTTTACTATTTCATATATAAATATATTCGTATATAAATTTAATTCAGCCTTATAAGGGAAATAGCCAATTAAACTTTGCTAAAAATAATCAAGGAAAAGAATTCCACGGGAGTTTAAGGAACATTGCCTTGGGGTAAACCACTTACAGTAAGCCAAAGTAAGAGAACAAAAGAGATTATACAATTATCTCTTTCTATGTGGACATTCTTCTTTCTGAGCTAGTATTCAATTAAATCTTGAAGGGCTTCATGTTTACTGAAATTAAGGGTGACTCCTCCCTATAATAGCAATCTCTTATGAGATGTCCCGAGCAAACACCGGTTGCCAGTGTTTATTTAAGTTCTTATGTTTGCAAGTGAATGCAAAACCCCACCTCTCTACTGGCAAATCCAGCAAACAACAACATGCCAGGGTTAAATCAAATTGGAGCTGTGACACACTGAAGTTTCATAAGGAAGCGGTCACACAACTCAAGTACTGTTTAAATACTTTTCTGTATCTTTAAAAAGTAAAGGGCTTTTGATTAGAAATATTTTTATCTTTCTTTTAAACTGATACTAAAATGAGAATAAAGAAAATTTTAAAACAAAGTATAATGATAAGGAGAACTGGAGAGGTGACAAAGCAGACACAAGCTTTAGCAAGAAATTGAGCAGACTGGAGGAAGACACAACTACAGTAGGTGTTCTTTTTTTTTTAACATTTTTTATT